AAACAATCAACAAAACTAAAAGGCAACCAACGAAATGGGAAAAGATATTTGCAACGACATATCGGACAAAGGGCTAGTATCCAAAATCTATAAAGAACTTACCAAACTCCACACCTGAAAAACAAATAATCCAGTGAAGAAATGGACAGAAGACATGAATAGACACTTTTCTAAAGAAGACATCCAGATGGACAACAGCCACATGACAAGATGCTCAACGTCACTCCTCATCAGGGAAATACAAATCAAAACCACACTGAGATACCACCTCACACCAGTCAGAGTGGCTAAAATGAACAAATCAGGAGACTATAGATGCTGGAGAGGATGTGGAGAAAATGGAACACTCTTGCGCTGTTGGTGGGAATGCAAACTGGTGCAGCCACTCTAGAAAACAGTGTGGAGGTTCCTCAAAAAGTTAGAAATAGATCTACCCTATGACCCAGCAATAGCACTGCTAGGAATTTACCCAAGGGATACAAGAGTGCTGATGACAGGTGCCCTTTGTACCCCAATGTTTTGGGGGTTTTTTAATTGTTGAGAGACAGAGACAGAGCATGAGCGGGGGAGGGGCAGAGAGAGAGGGAGACACAGAATTGGAAGAAGACTCCAGGCTCTGCACTGTCAGAACAGGGCCCAATGTGGGGCTCAAACCCAGTAACTGTGAGATCATGACCTGAGCTGAAGTCAGACGTTCAATCAATTGAACCACCCAGGTGCCCCTGTACCCCAATGTTTATAGCAGCACTTTCAACAATAGCCAAATTATGGAAAGAGCCTAAATGTCCATCAACCGACAAATGGATAAAGAAGATGTGGCTTAGATATACAATGGAATACTATTTGGCAATGAGAAAGAATGAAATCTGGCCACTTGCAGCAACGTGGATGGAACTGGAGACTGTTATGCTAAGTGAAATAAGTCAGGCAGAGAAAGACAGATACCATATGTTTTCATTCATATGTGGATCCTGAGAAACTCACCAGAAGACCAAGGGGGAGGGCGGCGGAGGGGGAAGTTACAGAGAGGGTAGGAGGCAAACCATAAGAGACTCTTAAATACTGAGAACAAACTGAGGGTTGATGGGGGGTGGGGAAGAGGGGAAAGTGGGTGATGGGCATTGAGGAGGGCACCTGTTGGGATGAGCACTGGGTATTGTATGGAAACCAATTTGACAATAAATTACATATAAAAAATAAAATGTAACTCTAATGCTCACTAAAATAAATACACAAATACATAAATAAATACATAGATAAATAAAATTAATCCTTAACCCACCATCTTCATAGAAGCTACTGAGGACACTGGCCATAGGAAAGCACCTACTCCTTCCCCTACAAATATCCACACACATCCTTGTTCCTGGTTTCTGCAATACTCCCCCTTATAATATAAAAGCACTGTAGCTCACTCTTTTGGGTCATTCATATGAGCTGCTCTTTCCTAGTGCTCCCCCAAAGACAACCCATGATTGCTTTACCACCTGATACCCCTAGACCAGATCCTTTCACTATTCCTCCCACCTAAAACTCATGAAATCAAAACTATGATTTGGAATGCAACATTCAATGCTGCCTTTATTATTCCCAGCTTCCAGCACTCTTGCTACTCCTTATCTCCTGAAATCCTTACCACTTTTTCAGTATTTGTATTTAGTGTTTTGGGGTATTTTCATACTTTAGTATTTGATACACAAATTCATGAATTTAAGATCCTGCATCTAAAGTTCTAAGAGAATCATGCCATTATAAATAGGGTCAATTATATACCTAAGCAGAAAAATTAGTTCAATTTCCAGAGTGGATAAACTTCAGACTTTTATTCTCCCAATAATCAAGCTAGTACTCTAGGTCAGATCTACTTTAGGATGTAGATAAGAGGTAGCTAAACGGTTGTTCTAAAACCCTAACCCTTATCTCTTAGCCTCACTCTGCATAGGAAATTTTCCAATTGCATTTCTAATATTAGAATCATACCGTTGTTATTTAATGTAATATCCTATGCTTATCTACCTTTTGCCCTACTGTATTGTCTTGAAATTTTCAGAATTCCTGTTTCTCTGACTCCCTCCCTTCCTCTCTTGATTAAGCTCCCGAAGGCAAACACAATGTGTTCTTCTCACCTCCCAAGGCCTATAGCAATGCCTGGGATATGGTGAACGCTCAATTGATGTGTGTGGACAAACCCATTCAATGTGTGAGTGAAAGAATTAATAGCATATTCAAGAGCATATTCACTAAACATGTCAACTCCCTTTTACCTTTTTTCTATGTGTGTGCATTTGCAACTACTGCCAATACATTTCAAACATACACGGTGAAACAATGTAGATAATAGTAAAGGTGAAGTATTGTCCATGTAGACTTGGCTGGGATCTCAACAGAGCTTCTCCTTGGAACACGTCTCTAAAATCTAAAGTGAGGGCACCTGGGTGACTCAGTCAGTTAAGCATCCAACTCTTAATTTCGGCTCAGGTCATGATCTCACATTTGGTGAGATTGATCCTGCAATGAGCTCTATGGTGACAGCTTGGGATATTATCTCTCCTCTGCCCCTCCCCAACTAGCACTCTCTTACATGTGCTCTGTCTCTCAAAATAAATAAACTTTAAAAATCCAAAGTGAAGAGGGCAGGGCATGGACTGAATTGTGTCCCAACAAAAATTAGTATCTTCGTCCAAACCTCCAGTATTTTAGAATGTAATTGTATCTGGAGGTAGGGTCCTTAAAGAGGCAATTAAGTTAAAATGAGGTGATTAGAGTAAGCCCTAATCCCATATGGCTACTGTCTTTACAAGAGGAAATTTGGATACACATAACAGGCAGAGTTAAGACTGTGTGAAGACAGCCATATACAAGCCAAGGAGAAAAGCCTCAGAAGGAACCAAACTGACACCTTGGACTTCTGGTTTTCAAAATTGTAAATAAATTTGTTTTCCTTCCCTTCCCCTAATGTTCATCTGTTGAGTTTCTCAAATTCCACATATGAATGATTTCATGTGATATCTTTCTCTAACTTATTTTGCTTAGCATAATACGTTCCAGTTCCATCCATGTTGTTGCAAATGGCAAGATCTCAATTTTCATCACTGAGTGGTATTCCGTTGTGTGTGTGTGTGTGTGTGTGTATACACATATACATACATATGTATATACACACACACACTATATCATATTTATCCATTATATACACTATATACACATATACATACATATATATATACACACACTATATCATCTTTATCCATTCATCAGTCGATGATGGACATTTGGGCTCTTTCCATAATTTGGCTATTGTTGATAGTGGTACTATAAACATTGGGAGGCAAACCGTAAGAGACTTTCAAATACAGAGATCAAACTGAGGGTTACTGGGGAGTGGGACGGGGAAGGTTCGGGGGGTGGGGGCTGCATTAAATAAGTGACAGGCATTAAGGAGAGCACTTTTCAGGATGAGCTCTGGGTGTCCTATGTAAGAGATGAATCACTGGGTTCTACTCCTGAAGCAAAAACTACACTGTATGTTAACTAACTTGAAAAAAAAAAATTCTGTCATGCAAGCTACCCAGTCTGCACTGCTTTTTTATGGCAGCCCAAGTAAATTAATAAGCAGGGCATGGGCTGCTTTAGAAGGCATAGGTGCTTCATACAGTGAGGCATTTTTCATAGAAGATATAAAGGAAACCATCATGGTTGTCTATAACATGCCTGGGTGCAGTGCTGGGTTGTTCATGAGAATTACCCTTTTATAGCTCCTCACAAAACCATATAAGGTCATATTATTAACCCAGTTTTTAAAATAAGTGAGTTCAATAGATTGAGAGGCTTTCTAAGGATATTTGGCTGATTTACTTCAGAAACAGTTTCAATAATGCCTAGGTGACTTCAAAGTCCATATTCTTTTTTTTTTTTTTAAACATGTTTATTGTCTGGACATACATATAAATTCACCACATAAGATGCTATTCTCACATCTCCCCATCTTCTTCCTCTTCAACACCCCTGAATTAAAGAACATTACACCTTATTAAAACTTCACCCAAATGACCAGACAATGCTCCATCTGTATATTCTTCTGTGTTTGCAAGCTGCATGTTCATATAGCCATCTGCAGATACCAGATAGCTTTTGTACTCCATTCCCCACTTGAGTTTCACCATCACTGGCTTTCCTGTTAATCCATTCAGGAAAGATTTGGGATTGAGGGGCAAATTCATCTCGACTACAAGCAAATGCTGCAGGCCACTCAGCACCGACCCAGCTGTTGCCCGTCCTTCCTGACTGGATTAGCTATGCCTGAGCGCAAATCGCAGCGCTTCCAGGGTGAAGATAAATGTCCATATTCTTTTCTGAACAAAGTCTATGTTCTTTACAACTCCTCCAGAATAAAAGGGCTCTGATGGCTGAAGGTCTGGGACAAAGATGCTCCTATGTCCACAGGCAAGAGAACATCCCCACGCACAATCTGGAGGTAGACTGGAGGTAGCTGATATTTTTTAAATCACATCTCTACAATTATAGTATGTGCCAGAATAGAAGATGCAAGTTTTCACACACAAAAAATAGAAAACATAAAGAAAAATAGAGAAGGTGGAGGAGTGAGAGATGGAAAAATCCAAAAGTAACTTTGCATCAATTGAAGGTAAAAAACCTAGAACCAAAGCACCCAAGATTCAGCGTCTTGTTACTCCATGTGTCCTCCAAAACAAATGTCGGCATACTGCTTGGAAGAAGCAGTGCACTAAGAAAAAAGTAAGGAAGAGGCTGCAGAATATACTAAACCTGTGGCCAACAGACTGAAGGAGGCCAAAGAAAAACACCAGGAACAGATTGCCAAGAGACAGACGCTGTCTTCTCTGAGAGCTTCTCAGTTCAGACAGAAAGGAGATTTTTCTAAGAGTAACAAATAAATAAGATCAGACATAAAAAAAAAAAAATAACCTTATTTCTGCAGTGCATTACTAGTATTTGTTTTTAATAGAACTGCATGTATGGTATGAAATTTCATTTACCAGTAATGTGTGTTTTGTTGTCTAATATTACCTGATACACAGTGAATATATTTTTTAACTGTGATTATCTATTTTCCAGGATTAGAATGCTAATATCCAAAAATATCATAGTATCATATCCAGAACATACTATTTTGCACCTGGACTCCACTATATAGTACAACATATAAATAATATATTTCCTTCAAATGTATTTTTATGATAGCATATCATGGACTGTACTTTTTCCCCCAAATTATCTCTGAAAATTTGAGATATATCTTATATATCTCTGTGTCCTACATATAATATGAAAAGTGACATTAGGGAATTTTTAAGTTAAAAGTCATTTAAATTCCCTACCCCTTTCATTTGTACATATTAGATGTGCAGAGATTAGGTTCAATTTAGCAAACATTTACTGAGCACTAGAGAAAGGATGATGACTAAGACAGAGTTGCTAGCTGTAAAGAGCTTACTTCTGGCCAAAGTAAAACATGAAGAGCAAACTATTTTTCCTGGTATTTGGATTTACAAGGTACAAAATAAAGTATCCTTCTTTATACTTAACCCCCCAAAGGGTCTACCAACCAGTTTTCCTGTTTCCTTATAGTCTTACCAATTACCAATTCTAATAATTTTAATGTTATATTGAGTCAAGATCCATGATTTCTAAGGCAAATTTTGAATCTTTTGGGACATTCTGATTCTTGACAATTGCTCTCTCTAGATAATACTACAACAGAAATTTCAAGTATGTGGATTTTTTCTTTTAGAATATTTAAGATAAATTTCAGGGGCTGAATTGCTGAGTCAGTTTTTACTCTAAGAATATTGTTATTTATAAAACCATGATGCCAACGTCCATTGCAATTGGAGTATAATGGTTAAAAAAATTCACTGCATATTTTCTAGTAATGAGGTTTATCTATGAAAAAAATGTTTTGGAATTGAATGAGATTTTAAATGTACCTTAAATTTTGTTCAAATTTTAGATCTCTGTAACTCATATACAATAAACTCTCCTGTATTCTAATTTGCACTGTTTTCTGAAATTAAATGTTTATGTCATATGCTGATTTATCTGTTACAGTCTTAAGATTTTTTTCATTAAATTAAACACAGAATAATTATTTATCAAATAGTCCCACTACCATTTGGCTTATAGATTCTTAAAGGATTGTTGTGTTAATGGTACATTTTTTTTTTTTTTT